TAATACGTTTATCTGTTTGTTTGTGTAACTTACTAGGAGTGAGATATTTCAGTTTTATTATTTATATTTCTTCAAAATATTATTAGGTATTTTTATTTATTAATAAGTCCTTGAGTTATCTCTCAGTTTCAAACGTGTCATCCTTAAAGCCTTGTAGATTATACTTCACACAGCCAGAGATCTTTAAATGAGTAATCAGAAAATAATCCAGTAGAACTGTTGTCATCAGGTGATTACTTTCCAAATAATAAGTACTATCTGTACTTCATTGATTTCTTTCTGCATTGCCTCAATTTTGTCATCACAGCACATCTGTACCTCTTCAATACTGTTGTTGTAATCTCTCTGTGTACGTCTCCAATAGTTTCATCAATCTTGTTTTCAATCAGATATATTTTTATTTTAATTCTTCACTAAATAGTAAATTTCTTTCTGTTAACTCTTCTATTTTACTTCTCGGCTTTTACTACTTTTTTTAATAAATATTCTGTCACATTCTTCTAATTAACCGTTTCTTTTTTCTTGTTCTTATTTTAATTGTTAGTTGTTTTTTTTTTGTCTTTTTTTAATTTTCTGTCTCGTTCCTCTAAATTTTAGTCTTTTTTATTTTTGTTCTTCTTTAAATTTTCAGTTGTAGGTCCTAGTTCCCAAATATTGTTTTTACTTTCAACATAGATTTACTCGGTGATGGTATTACGACTAACGTACAAGTAAACTTACTTATACGTGATAATTAACACTAATTTGAATACTTCACTACCTTCTCAATCACTGAGCGAACTGAAAACTGAATCAATGCTTCACTGATTCTCGTATTTATAATATATCACTGTTCCTAAATATTTCGCAAAGTTCCTTGATCATTAACATTTATTAATATCGTTGCGTCAGCGAGGTCACATGACTAGTGTCACGCCACCTGCTTTCTAGAACTATCCCGTTCCTTCGAGAGTGCTCTAGCATTTACTAGATATATGTTTGTCTGGTTTATATAAGACGCTCACAACGTGACGGGATAATATGTGTGTAGGTATTGAGTAATTGAACTGCAGTCAGAAAGTATTGTTGAAGTTAACGTTCGTTGTTAAAACGTTTGTAAAAGAGCGACTGTTGAAAATAAGTGTATCGGTAAAGTTATTTTCAGAAAGAATAAACCAGATTTATTAAGTAAGGACTTGTGTCGCTAAAGTTTCGTCGGAACGAAGTTACGGAAAATCAATTAACAAACGGAGACTTAACAATATTCTATGTATACTAGGACTACTTTATAAACTTTCTAAATTTAATGCCATCGTCATGTTAGCAGCTCTCTCTAACAAACAACTAAATTAAGATATTGAAATATAGCTTATAACAATATTATATGATGAATTTGATAAGTCAAAGTATGATAGAAATTAAGATTGTTTATTTTATATTGTCGTGTAGTTAATGTTGTTGAAATTTTGCATGGTTTGTCTGGTTGTAGTTAAGCGCAAAGCTACACAAAGGGCTATCTGTGCTTTGCCCACCACGGATATTGAAACCCAGGTTGTAGCGTTGTAAATCAATGAACGATTACCTTTTCAAATTAAATTCAACTGTGAAACTGGTAAAAAAAAAGCACTTGCCAGTTTATGAAAGGATTTGTTTTATGTATTTTATAAAAACA